AATATAATATTAGTGTGTAATTTTGTAGCAGAGAAATGGGATTAGTGTGATTCGGTTAAGAAATGTACTATAAAATAATGTAATATTTATAAAAATTAAAAATAAATAAATAAAATGAAATGAAACGGAATAAAATAAAATTAAATATATACAGACTGTGTAGTTACAACGCTAACCAGCCAAACCTTGAGCTCTCAAAATAGCTTGACTAAAAGGGGATGAAATGAAACGGAATAAAATCAAATTAAATATATACAGACTGTGTAGTTACAACGCTAACCAGCCAAACCTTGAGCTCTCAAAATAGCTTGACTAAAAGGGGACGAGTTTAGAAACCTGTCGAAAAAACAGTCATTATTTTTGCTTATTTGCTTGGTGCACAAAATAAACGCCCAGTTTAAACCTCATATTATGGTCAATTTCCGATATTTAAATCAACCAAATGATGTACTAATAACTGTGATCACTCTGAAACATGGACACTGATAGGAAATGTAACCTGTTTCTCAGGTCAGAGAGACAGAAAAGTGTTTGCTCCAGTAACCGAAAACGAATCCTACGATCACTCCTGAGATTCAACACAGTTTTATGCAGTGGCTCCTGAAAGCCATCAGTGCCAGAGCGAGGCAGATCTGGGTGTTTCCCTGAGGTACGATCAGAGGCGCTGCTAAACTCCTGTGATAATGGGCAGAATGTGTGAACACATGCGAACGGACTGTGAGAACAGGAACGGAGCCAAAACATGAAGAGCGGTGCAGATACGGGACGGCTCGTTCATGTGAGAGAGAAAAACGCCTGTTCTTTGTGTGGAGCGGCTACAGGAGGGCGTCTGAATTTTGTCCCAATCATGACACGGATTAAAGCGCAGAGCAGAGTGTGGGAAAAACTCTCGGGACCCCTCCTCTCCCTCTCTCAAACTTGCCTTCAACCGCTCAGCGTGTCATTTCTCTCTATCTCTCGGCTCAATCTCTTGATGTTTCTCTCAAACCCTTGTGCTTTTTTTCTCTCCTCTCCGCAGGCCCTTTTCCCACTCAACTCCTGCCTCTCTCTCTCTCACTCCTCCAGCCGCGGTGAAGAGCTGGAACTCTCTCCGAACGCTTGAAATCAGCCAGCAGCTGCTTCTGACAGAGAGGGAGCGAAACGGACGTTAAGATTACAAATGACTGCCAAATATACAATTTAAACAACAAAAGAGCAATTTCTAGCTGAGCGTAACTAGAAAAAATATACATTTGCATGGATTTTAAAGATTTTATTCATTTCAAGTGGTGTAAAACACGATTTCCAGGTTATCTATGACCATGTGAACTATGAAATGCTCAAGCTAGCATGACAATTACAGTCATTTAAATAAAAAAAGACTAGTTAAATATAAATTATATGCATTCTGGAAAGGTAAAGGTTCATTCATGTTCGCTGGCTCTCAGTCTGTCCGTCTGAATTCACACACTCATTAATCTGATAGTCGAGTTTTGCTCAGATTCCACTCTCACGCGTCCCATATTCTTTCGCTTTTGTCACTTTTTTTCTTCCCCCCCGGCCTGTTCTCATGAATTACTGCCGTTCACAAGGCTTGTCCCATCCACTCACACACACACTCTAACACGGCCTGCCAGAGTTTATTAGGCACATATCGCATGAGCGGTAAAGAGCAAACAAACGACCGAAGCAGCGGTTCTCATATTCAGACTGCAGGCAGGTTTATAAGTGTGAAGTACTAGCTGCTGAAGATGGACCCTGATGCCCAGCTGGAATATTATTTGGCATTCTGAATTTTCCCACTGCTCGTAGTATCAGACACACATTCCCGAGCAGATCTCAGCGTCACTATGGGCTCAAACAGCCAGATGATTCATGAATGCCTGCTGTAAAGCATGCTGAAAACTACTATATTATACTATACTGATGTTTGACTGTTTATGCAAATATAAAATAATATTAAAAAAGAATAATATCAATAAATAATGTTACTAATAATATAATAAAATAATATAACAATATTAGTATGTAAATGTTTTAATACGGATGCCACCCAGTGTGAGCTGGCACACAGTCGGCCGACCGGCCAACCCCCGAACCCCCCAGCAATTACCCTCTCTACCCATAAGCCCCTCCCCGGCCCTGCTCCTTTCCCAGGGGTTCAGGGGCCACTGTACTCACTACACCTCGTTTCCCATACGCATAATCTTGAATTTTCTCCCCCGGCTCATAAAGAGGCGCTCGAAGCCCCTCAGTCTGCAGCCCATTTCCCAAACACTCTCCCTTTATCTGCCAAACCCTCAGCCTCTTTCTGTCTCACTCGCTCTCTTTCTGTCTTTTCCACGCTCTCTTTTTGCAGATAATCCGTGCTATTTTTTTTCTTTCCAGTAATATGCTTTCAAGTTTGCCCTGCAGTATTTCCAACTTTAAATTCCTAGGATGAATTCGATTCTCATTCACGTTTAACTTTCTCTTTGAAAATGAAGGTACAGGGCAGTTTTAACGTTTTTAAAAGTTCTATATATTTTTTTTTTTAAATGTTTTATGTAAATCTTTTAAGGAAACACGTTTTATAGTAGATGAAAATTAGATTGAAAATTCTCTGAAATGTATATATATATATATATATATATATATACTAAACTAAAACAGTGCAATAAATGCCTCTAAGCCTGAAAAACGGAGTGTGAAAAACACTGATATGACTAGCCCATGAAACCACTGCAACTGATTTATTACGTGTACAAATAACACGTCTGTCACTCAGTGTCGTATGTTTCTCAGGGATCAGCATGTGTGTGAACTACATGCTTTGTATTGAAATTATCTTTACCCATCAGAAAATTAATTGTCAGCAGCCTTTCATTCTCGCAGCCCGTAAAATTGACATAAGCTTTACAAACATTCCACACAGTTTCTCAGGAAGAGCAAATTCAATCACACACACACACACACACACACACACACACACACACACGTGTTTCTAAAGGATTTAAACACGCAGTACAAGTCATAATGCTGTGTTGTTTCATTTTGATGATTCAACTATAAATCAATAACAAATTATTAATAATTACAATAAACTATTTAATCGGAATCAGTAAGTGCAAAATCCAAACTTCTTGAAATGAGACATTTGTGAGTTTAGCATTAAACATGAGTAAAAATGCACTTGAAATGCAAATGATGGTGTTAACGAGTGTTTACATGTACAACAAAACCCTGATAATGATCAAAAATCATCTATTTTATAACCCTGTTTTTAGGGTTTGCATGCAAATCAATAAACCCATATCACAAGAAAAACCATCTGAACGTAAACAGACATGATAAAGGTGTTTACATGCAAAACAAAATCTAGATGTTAAGGGATTTAAAATGATTTAAATGACATTTCATGTCTTCTGGTGTAAGATGTGCATGTAAACACACTTCATGATTGGCTAATGCTGTTTATGATTATTTTAATTAGGCCTAAGAAAGCTTATCACACCATTAGTTTCATATTATGAGCTGAAATTACTAACCAAATCATGTTTTTGCAGGCTGCAAAAATGTCTAACAGCATACTATTTCAGTGGTTTATCTCGTTACTGCTGTTGTTGATGGATTTACAGGGTGGGCGGAGCTTATGTACTGCACTGTATCTCATAAATGTTGTTGCTGACTGATTTACAGAGTGAGGAGGGCTTATTAAGTCCTACACTGTATTTAAAAAACTGCTGTTTTTGATTGATTTGTGGCGTGGGCGGGGCTTATGCGCTGCTGCAAACTATATTTCATAACTGCTGCTCTTGAGTTACATGTGAAGTGGGCGGGGCTTGTCAAGTCCTGCACTATATTTTAACAACTGCTGTTTCTGAGTGACGTGTGAAGTGGGCGGGGCTTATAGATAGCAGCACATTATTTTATAACTGCTATTTTAGAGTGACTTTTGGAGTAGGCGTGGCTTATGAAGTCCTGCACTATATTTAAAAACTGCTGCCTTTAATTCATTTATGGGGTGGGCAGGGCTTATGCACTGCTGCATTATATTTCATAACTGCTGCTGTTGAGTGATTTGTGAAGTGGGCGGGGCTTATGGGTTCTTGCACTATTAGATCTTCCCTCCTGTGATCCCAGCAGCCTGCGCAGCCGCGTTATCTCCAGTTTATACCTGCACAAAGACGCCACACCTGAGCATCACATGCCACCTAGAAAGTAATTTCCTTAATATCACAGGTGGGTGTTCAAATACAGTACCTGCCCAGGTGATTGTCCACATACTCCTTCAGCTCAGACACCTGCTCCTCTGCAACCGTTGCCCTTGTGATCAGTTGGGCGCGCTCCCTCTCTTGAGCTTCCTGTTGGAATTTTACTGTGTTTACCAGGGTGATATTTTCATGGTTACATGTGGGGATAATTGTGTATGTTTATACAATATTCTGCAATGTTTAATAGTTATCTTATCAGTTATGGTTAATTAACTTTAATGGTTTCTTGTAGCAGGTATTTGGCCTACCATGGTGTCTACTACTACTATCCTGGATCAACGTCATTATAAACAATCAGATTTGATCTTGCTTGAGCACGATCATTTTTTATGAACCATTCAGAGTTTTTGAACCAATCAGAGTCCATCAGAGTTTTTGGCTTGAACCAATCATTTATGTTGGTTCCAGGACTACCTTGCTATTGGTTACCTGTGTGGAGTTGGTTATTTCTCTGATCTGCTTTTGAACATCATTCCAGGAGTCTTGAGTTAGTCCAACCCTGCAGAATTTTTCAAGAACAAAACATAAAATAAGACAGTAAAAAGTATTTTTACATATAACTCTGAATGATACTCACCTCTGAGAAGACTCTGTAAATACAGCCATCTGAAATACCAAGCACATGATCAAGTCACAGAACTAATCCATTAAATAACACACACACACACACACACACCTGTTCTCGAGCCAGTTTCAGTTGGCTCTCCAGGCGGGCTTTGTCCTCTCTCAGTCTGTGTAGCTCTCTCTCGGTCTCTCCTCTCAGTTCGGTCCCCGTGGGACTGAAGTGGGCCTCAGGGGGTCCGGCCTCTAAAGAGTGTTCAGGGAGTGCCAGGATCTGCTCACGTTGCAGTCTGGGATACAGAGACACTACTTATCAGACCAAATCAGATCTAGTGTGTGTGGGAGCAGGTTTCGCCAGGGGGGCTGAAATGACTTAAAATGCCCATACAGAAAAAAGTTTCATAAAGAGGCAAAAATGTTCCGAATTCACATCCAAAAAACCAAACTCTGTATTTTAGATTTAGCCTAGAATAATTGTTTTACTGAGCATGTTTAATTTTTAAATAAAAGTTAATTAGTATTTGATTACAATTTTAGGTTAATTTCATAGTTGAAGCCACGAGTATTAACTAAAACTAACTTTAAAACATAAAAAAAAAATCATTATTTGAAATAAAATAAACATAAATATATGTTGAAACTATTTATATTTGATGAATAATATATATGAAATTAAAAAATATATATATATAGCTAACTACTAAAATGACAACAAATTTACTAAAACTTTAATGAAAAAAACAAATATTAACAACTACAATAGCATCTCAATGATACTAAAATAACACTATAGTAAAAGCACTTGCTTAAATCAGGCGTTCCCTAAATGGGGGTTATGAGGAAACTGTAGGGCGATTGTGATTTTGTTTGTGATTTTTTTACCCCAAAATAAAACACTTACTAAAATACTATATATAATATTAAATAATATTTTTTTTGTGTTCCTGCATGTCATAGGACCATTAACCGACACCACAGAACGCTGAACATGAGAATGTGTTGTTAAATTATTAAAATATTAATGCAATATCTCAGGCAGACTTTAATGAATATTTTATAGGTCAAAGGCTTGTGAATCCTTGTGCTAAATCAACACATGTAAGCATAAATTGTAAATAGTTTATATTAAGAGCAACAGGTGCAAATCAGTGGATGTTCAAGCACCTGTAAGCAATGAGTAGCTGTTGATAGGTGTTGCTCAGACCCTGTATGCGTTTGCGGTACGTTCTGATGGCTTTGGTGAGCTGTTCCTCTCTGGAGCGATATGATGTTTTCACCTCCTCCAGCATGGACTCAACAAGCCCCTTCAACTTCTGTCCCAAATCACCCTCACCAGCTGCGGTTAGACACTCCTACAGCACATTACAAGACTCTTCTAACATCAGTTTGTTTGAAAATGAAGAAATTATACATCAACTAGAAGCCACTATAAAAAGTGTGATTATATGTGTGTTAACCATATGTCTGTTGGCTTGTATACGTACTGTAATGTCCTGAATATAGCGTGTAAGTCGTGCCCTGTACTCTCTGTTGAGTTCCTTCAGATGATTTTGTAGTTTAGAGACCTCAGCCTCAGCCTCTTTCAGCTGATGTTGAGAAATAATGAGCGTCTGCATGTAGAGAGGGAACAAATCAGCAGCCAGAAACACATATACAGCATCTTCTGTGTGAATGAGTGATAATATACAGACTGCAGACTGCTGGGACAACTCGTGTCGGGTGCTTTGAATGGCTCTCTTATTCTCCTGCTGTTGCCTCCCCATGGTCACACTATGAGGAAGATAACACACACATATACACACATCAGCTGACCTTCAGCGCCCACGTCTCACGACTAAACGAGTCCACACATGTATCAAAGCCTCCCCACTCATAAAGATAAAAGCTCCACCACATCACTCCTGATGTAGCAGGTGCACAGAGTTTGCTCTCACTGGGTCAAACTTTGAGCAGACACCATTGTATCCTCTTCTGAGTGTGGCACTGACTCGGGCGATCCGATCACAGGTGCTCAGGTGAGATAGATGCTATTATCATACGTCTCCTGTGATCATTTGTGATCAGATTTCGAGGGGAGGGTCTATGATTTTGTGACTGGTATTTTAGTATTACAGTATTATACACAGTAGATGCTATTATTTACACATATTTTGAATTTATTTTTTAAACTTATAATTATATAGCTTTTGTTATATTTCAGACTTTATTTTAATTTTAGTTTAATTGTTTTATATGCTCGTTATTTTTATTAGTGCTTCTTTTAAACATTTCTATTTAGCTTTAATTATTTTTTATGGCAGATTTAGTTTTAGCAATTTTAGTACAGCTAGTTTAGTACAGCTAGTTAAAATTTTTCACCTAATATTTATATTTTATTTTATTTCAATTAACTAATTAATTAAATTACAAAAATAAATTTTAAATAGTTTCAGATTTAGTCTTAGTTAACAATAACACCATGGGTACAAACATCACTTATTATCTCAACATGCTTATGAAACACTAAAAAGTCGGCAAGCTGCTGTTCTCAAATATACAACAGAAGATGTTTCCAATTCTCATTGTTCTTTTAATTGAGCACCTGTTGTTTACTGAACTTCAGGTGTGTGTGCTTCACATGATCTGTGTTGCTACATGTTGATATCAGACATACTGAAGATGTTCCTTGAAATCTTTTGCATCTTTTACAAATGCAATTGCCAATCTGGCAACATTTCAAAACCCTAGCGCAGTGTATGATTGACAGGTGAGCAGTTGCTCTTTTGTTATTGTGGTCGTGTACACATGCACAAATGTGGTTTCAGTGATCACAAAACATTTCGGGCCCCATTTCACGTGTATTTAGTGCCGCCCACTAGTGTTTGGTAACCCGAGATGGGTCAAAATCTGAGCAGATGTCATGGTGTGTCTCACACTTTCTCCTCTAGCTGTCGTTGGTGCCCCTCGTAGCTTTTCCTCAGTTTCTCTAACTCGTCTCTCAGGTTATTCTGCACTCCCTGCATTGAAAAACAACATCAAACATGTATAAAAAACACCATATTACAGAAACATTATGGATAAGCACATTACAACAACAAGAAATGTGATACTTGATAGATATATAGCGTATCTCTGCTTGATTATTTATCTATAAATTATATTATTATATCTATAAACTATGTTATTGCCTGGCTATTTATTAAAAGTTGGAAAAAATAAGTGCATCCAGCTTTATCCACATAAATACAGTACAGCTTGACTGTTTATATTGTTGCAAAATGTAAAAATATTATCGCCTAGCTCAATATATAAAGTCAGATATATAAGTACACCTTACTTTATCTGCATTCATTCAGTTTACTCACATAAAGTGATATATGCTATGTAGCATATCTCAACTGTCTGATTGTTCATATTGTCGCAAAATGTCACTATATTATTGCCCAGCTTTAATCTGCTAAATGCGACTATAAGGCATGAAGATTTTAAGATATTATAAACATTAAAATCATGGTTTTCTGTAAATCTGTTTTGAAACTGTGTGTATTGTGAAAAGCAATATACAAATTAACAATTAAGAAATTGACTTGACTTGAAAAACTAGGGATTATGTAATAATATACTGCTGATATTCTTACGTTTCTTTCCGGTTGGCTCTTGCTCTGTTCAAACTCCTCTGGCTGTTAAAACAAACATCAAAAACAGAGTATGCACTATTTACAGAGTAAGTACTATTATCACACCACCCTGCATCATATTTGCTTACTGAAATCCAGTACTCGTTTCATACTAATTTTGGGGTGCTGATTCCAAAGCATGTCACACTTTCTCACAAAATATGTTCATTTCATAGCATTTTTGCTTTCGATAACCATTTGTTAGGTGAAGAAGTCTTGTGTTATCCCTTAATCAACAGAAAATCTCCAATAAAGACATGATTCCTGTCTTCCTCTGAGCTGAATTACAACTATTTGTTCAATTCTCACCCCTTTTTCACACGTATGAATGATTCTGAAGATATTATTGTATGCCTAATCCCTAATTCCACCTTTTCTGCTCCGTTGCAGATTGTAAGTTAAATGACACACTTTGAATACTTCTTTTTGACATTTGACTGCTTTTGTTATTTTGATAATTGCATTCAAGCTGATTCATACTGAGAATTCGAAAAATCTTCAATCTCACTTTGTGAGAAGCTTTACGTGATGGAAACTCAGCATCATCAGATTAATTAATATTACACCTTTTTTTTCAAGATGCAAGGCTGTGTGATTGTTCATACATTCGGAGTGTGTTCAATTGAATTCAGTCCCTTCTAGAGCAACACACATTGCTCGAGGAAGTATCTGATGAGAATGAGCATGTTTATGTGCGTCTCACCCTGACTCTGCTCTGGGACGTCCTGCTGAGCAGCGCTCGAACCCTCTCCACCTCCAGCATGTGTCTGTGTGTGCGCTCTCTCTCCTGCAGGAGCGTGTCGTGTGTGTGCGCGAGGGCGAGCAGCTCGGCGCTGAGCTCCTCTGAGTGTGTGCGTTCTCTTTCATAAGCGCCGCTCAGTGAAAGGAAGTTGCTCTTTATCACGGCGTACTCTTCAGCCAGGTCACGCTCACTTCGCTCAATGACTTCTAAGCGTGCCGATGCTGCTGTCACTTCCTGTCTGAGCCGGTCACACTCTGTCTGAAGAGATGAGGCGGTGCCCTCCTGAGATAGAACCTGGGGATGAAAGCATTAAATACATGTGTTAATCATTATTTTGATCATCAGTGTGCAAGGGCGTAGTTTTGGTTTGAATATTGGGGGGGTTGAAGTGTGAAGTGTTTTAGTAGAGTCCCAGGCCATGCTACCTCATAAGGTTTATTTATTTGTTTGTTTGCTTATATATTTATTTTTGTAAAATGGTCTTTTGTGCTATCATCTATGCAAAGTTGGTTGATAACATAACTGCAATAAAGTAACATCATAGTTAACAATTACTTGATTACATAGATATATATATATATATAGTTGTACTCGCTAGTTTTGGTTATGGGGGGGGTTATATTTCACGCACTTACCACGTTTTTCAGTTTAAAGATCGCCGCTTCATACTGCTCTCTCATTTTATTGGCCTCAATCTGCACATCAACAAGGTCTTTTGAGATCTGAAACACATATATATGAAATATGAACCTATGCATCAGACATCAGGCAGATCCCATATTTCCAGGTGCATTTCAGATCCTACCTTCAGTTTGTCTTCCTCACACTGGACCAGTTTGACTGACAGGTCGCTTTTTGACACGGCCTGCTGGCCCAGTTTGTTCTGGACCGAGTCAAGCTTACTAAACAGCGCTTCATTTCGTTCCCGCAGCTGTACCTGTAAATCAATCACAACATTCAGTGTTTTGGTTAAGTGACCCCCAATAAACGTATATAAGTATAATCAAGATTTTATTTATAGTAATACTCAGTAAAAACAGTAACACTTAATTAATTACAGAGAAAAATTATGAAAATGCATAAAATTTAATGTTTTTTTACACTACTGTTCAAAGGTTTGTGGTTGGTAAAAGTCTCTTCTGCTCACCAAGGCTGCAATTATTTTATCAAAAAACATTAAAAACAGCAATTAAATTGTGAAATATTCATTCAAATTAAAATAACTGTTTTCTGTGTAATTTATTCCTGTGATCAAAGCTGAATTTACTCAGTCTTTAGTGTCACATGATCCTTCAGAAATCATTCTAATACGTTGTTTTGCTGCTCCCCAATTTTTTTTTTAAATCTGATTATTATCAATGTTGAAAACAGTTTGCTGCTTCATTTTTGTGGAAACTATGATAGTTTTTATTTTTCAGGATTCATTGAGGAATAGAAAGTTCAAAAGAACAGCATTTATTTGATATAGAAATCTTTTGTCTTACTGTCACTTTTAATCAATTTAATGTGTACATGCTGAATAAAGGTAATCATTTCTTAAGTCAATCAATCAATCAATCAATCAACCAACCTATCTTACCCCAAACTTTTGAATGGTAGTGTATATATTTCTCACTTACCCTGATTAAAAACCCTGGGTTTTTACAACCCGATTATTTATAATGCATAAAAGATAAAAGTCCAAATGTGAATTTATATAAATTGTTTGGCTTAACTAATGGCCTATTTTAACTAATATAATAAATATTCGTTTTTTTTTAATGAAACTTCTTATAGAGTTAATTAATTCCTTTCAGATGACAAGAAAATATCTTACATTTTCTTCAGTCAGAGAGTGAATTTGCTCCTGAAGTTCGTTAATTGAGCTCTGTTTATTCGTGGAGTCCATGTTCTGCAGCTGTCAGAGGTGTGTTATGTCTGGTTTCTATAAACACGAGTCTCCATGGAAGTTCATAATGATCCTCACTCTCTGAGAAACAGCAAACTGTGAAAGAGAGCTCCATTTGACGTGTGAATCACATTAAACGATTCTTTCTGATGATTCAGTTGAATCATCAGAGTTGCTTAATTATTCAAATCCCGTTGATTAGACATGGTTTTATCAATCAGCATTCGATGCTATGTCATGAACACGTTAAATAATAGAAATACTGAACACACTGGATTAAAAAAATATATATACAGAGATATGATTTGTGCTGCATCTGCTCAACAAATGTTTTCTAAACAAATGAATCATTAACAACATTAACAACACAAGTCTCAGCACAATATAAGACATATATAGCCTGAGAAGCAGTCTATGGCCAAATCAGAAACAGTACTTACATTGCCTATCAGATCTGTTTTGTTGTGGAAACAGTTTTGCTGAATTGTTCTTCTGTTTGGTAAATATCAAGGGCTCTTGTGAAAGTTCAAAACCCCATTGTCCTTTACAATAGAAACGTAAGAGCATTTCTTGTTTAGTTCGACGGCAGGCATATTGTTCAACTGAATCGTGATTCATTTGTCTGATACGGGATAAACTGTGACAACAAATAGAAAAATCTTGATTCGGCATATTAACCTTGTTAATGCACGAAAACAAATGAATTGTGGCATTACTTTTGCGTATTGACTCGATGACTCGGTTAACTGAACAGATTCATTAAAACGAGTCAAATTTGGTCAACTGAACCCCAGCAGATGTAAACATCTTTTAGTCCACTTGTATGGTTAAATACCAGTTCAAATTAATACATTTATTAAACTCGAAAACTAATTAAAGTGAAAATATATGCCAGTCTGGCAATGCAAAACATGTTCAAAATCAGTATGTTATGAAATGAAACATAGCTGCAACAAACTGAACTGAAACTATAATTAAACCCATAATCAATAAAACTTACCTCGAAAACAAAATTACTTAAAAGAATCCCCTTTTGAGACAAACTGTTCGAAAGAACCGATTCGCTGAGGAAACGGCCGTTAGTTTTTATTCTAACTGGCGGGAAAAATGGCTAATCAGCTAAGATCAGGGACAAATAAAACGCATTATGAATAATTAAAACACATTATATCTTCCACAAAATACACAAACCACTTGAACATTTAACTTTGAGAGAGGTAATGTAATTCACTCAATATGATTAAGTAAATGTAGAAAAATTTATTAAAATGTATACAAGATATATGATACAAAGATAGCAGAACAAGTCTGGTCATTAAATAATTTGTAAATTGTACAAAATGACTTAAATATAATGGTCCCACGGCATTCTTGTTCAAAAGGCCACACACACATCACGTATGTAAGTGCATTCTGGGCATTCGCACACAAGCTACTCTACTAAAGCAACCCGCAAAGTGGCTTTAACAAAATCACACCTATCGAAGACGTGCCATTTACTAGACTGGCAGTCCCATAGAAATATGGCACATTTTTAAAAAAGGCTTCTGTAGGCTTGTCGTGTGCATTTCTGTACGCATTGAAAAATGTATGCAATTTTCTCCAGTTATCTTGAGGACCTCCTAAGCAAATCGTTCTCTCAATGATTGATGTTCTCATCTTCCTCCACCTCTTCATCATCCTCTGCAACATGGGTGTTCGTCTCTCTGTAGACCAGACGGACTCCAGCAGCGTTCTGTAGAGCCTCCAGACTGGTTTGACTCACGTACAAGCTCAAGTTTATGTTGGGACGCGTTGATCTCAATTCCTCTATTTTAGTCCAAGCCTAATACACATACAAAAACAATATTTCATCAAAATATAACTGGAAACAGATGTTAAAGGAATAGTTCATCCTAAAATGACAATACATTATTGACCCTCATGTCATTCCAAACAAGATAGTTTCTAGTGACCAAATTTGTTATCCTGTACAACTTTTCTAACCTTATTCAAATACTTTTGGGTCCATACAATATGTTTTCAGACCTGCATAAAGTGTCTTCAAACCCCTTTTGTGTTCCATAGAAAAAAAAAATAGCATTGAGAGGGATTTAAATGACATGAGGGCAAGTAAATAATGGTGAAAACCATTCCTCCAGAGTATAGCATGGCTATGGTTTCTCTTAAATACTAAGGCGGCTTTCACACTGGCAACAGTTCACATGAGAAACTGGTAATGTAAAATCTGTCATTCGGACCCAGGAGTGCACAGCGGTACCAAACCCAAAATTACCTGTAGGAGCTCATCTAAAGTTTGGTTGCAATTGCTGGAAAGTCTCTAGTTAAGTCATTTGTTTGTATATGTCAATAGCCAAAATGCTCTTGATTGCTGTTCGCTCACTTAACACGTTTTATTTGGATTAAAACTAAACAGTATATATAAGTAAAAACATTAACTGTTACATGATTTATGTATAATGAGTGGTTCCCAATATTACAAGAAAACGTGATTATTGTACCACTGCACTGGAGTGATAAAATGAGCAGTGAAAAAAAAGAAGCTTGTACAATACATTTTAACAGCCCTAGAGATGCGCCGATTCCGATTTCCGGAATTTATTTATTTTTTATTTTTTTGCTGATTCCGATTTTCTTTCTAAGATCTATAATTGACAGCATATACAAACAAAAATCTATACTTTTTTCAATGCAAAAAAAATATACAAATTTATTAAACATTACAATTCCCCCAATCTGGACTAAGTTACAGATATTCTCTATAAGTGCATTTACACTGCAAAATTGCAAATGCATAAATAATTTTATAAAATTAATGTTTTAAATATTATTATTATAACAAAATGCAATACTTTTAAATATGAAACCAAACCACCAGTAGGTGGCGGCAAATGACTGTGAGCCATTTAGTCATTCATTCAACCGATTTGTTCAAACGGCAGATTAATTCAGAAACGAGGGTCTTTTATTAATGGTTTTCTGAATCGTTGACTCACTTGATTTGTTCAAAAGCGTGGATTCATTCAGTAACAAAACACCGCTGTGTTGCTCAGAGACACACAGCAAACTATTTTCGTCAGCAAAATTGAGCGAAAACAGTCAATATTGTGTCTAAAATATAAGTCACTTAATTTGAACTTCTTGTTTATTAAACTACTATTGTATAAAATCAGTGTCACATTGCAATCGCGTTGATATTCAGTTAAACATCTTGGACGTGCAATGCTGCGTACCTAAATCATATAATATTTTTTTATAAGTATAAGTATAGAATGTTTCTTCTATACATCTATAACTTTCTATGAGTGCTGTTGCGCTCATTTGTTTTGATTTCTGCACGAGTCTCTCTCACACACTCAGACTGTGCAAGCCTCATCTGGCACGACATAAATACATTATCAGTCACTGTAAGTGTGACGTCAAAACAGCCCGGCTCGGAATTGGCAGACTGACCGGCCGGTCATTGGTCCGGGCCGATCATGCGAAAAACCGGCTAATACCGGTCCCTGGCCGGTCGATCGGTGCATCTCTAATAATTAAGCGGGAAAATGACTAAAGGAAACATCTAAACCAACTAAGATGATTCATATTCTTGATGAAAATATTGGTATTTTACCTGTTCTAGAATAAGCCATATCGGTGTAATGACAACATCATTAGTTCAAGAAAAACACATATAGGGGAAGAAAGTGGTAAATATTGATCTTAGATACGAGTGAAAGTGAGCATGCAGCATAATCGCGTAAAGCGAGTGCAATCAGAATCTGTTTTCTCCTCAAAAGAGTCCGTTTGCAAGCCTTCATGCAATGCACATAGTTCACTATGCTGCACATAATTTCCCCACGGTGTGTTGTCTATCATGCTCGCTTTGCATGTTTGTAATGATGGAAGATGAACGCAAATGCATTGGGTTTAATAGAATCAAGTGAGTCTGAAACCAATGTTGTGGGAACTCCAGGAATAACTGCACTTTGATTCGGACCGCAGCAAATGTGTCCAGTGTGAACACAACAAGTCCCCTAAAACACAACATACTATAAACCTCAACATACCTGCTGAAAGTTGCCATGATGGCAGTAGTGCTCCACCAGGAACCCATACACATCTCCAACACGCACTGCAGGGTTCAGATCCTTCTCTTCCAGCAGAGACTCGCACACACGTACCGCTTCCACTGGATCCTCCTCATGCATCCTACACACACACACACACACACACAAATACATGTACAAATGTGACCCTGGAGCACAAAACCAGTCGTAAGTAGCACGGGTATATTTGTAGCAATAGCCAACAATACATAGTATGGGTAAAAATTATGGATTTTTCTTTTATGCCAAAAATCTTTATAGGATATCAAGTAAAGATCATGTTCCATTAAGATATTTTGTAAATTTCCTACCGTAAATATATCAAAACTTAATTTTTGATTAGTAATATGCATTGCTAAGAACTTCATTTAGACAACGTTAAAGGTGAGTTTCTCAATATTTTGATTTTTTTTGCACCCTCAGATTCCAGATTTTCAAATACCGGTAGTTGTATCTCAGCCAAATATTGTCCTATCCTAACAAACCATTCATCAAAGGAAAGCTTATTTATTCAGCTTTCAGGTAATGTGTAAATCTCAATTTCCAAAAATTGACCCTTATGACTGGTTTTGTGGTCCAGGGTCACAAATGAAATAAAATATAACAAAACAAAATACTCCTTTTTCATCAGTACCTTCTTGCCTGAATGAATCTCTTGACGAGGCCGAATCTCTGTGTCAGTATGAGAAGTTTGCTGTCAGCCTCGTCTCCACTGCGACCCTTTGCTTTAGTCAGGCACTTGCACGCCTCCGTCAGAGCGCCATACGCCTTCTCATAATTCTGATAGTCATCAATTTCCACCTGTGTGCATTCAAAAAAAATAAAGGTTCCAGAAAGGCATTTTCACAGCAATGCCATAAAAGAACCATTTTTGGTTTCTCAAGGAACCTTTCAGTAAACAGTTCTTAAAAGAACCATTTTTTCTTAATGTGAAGAACATTTTAATAATCTCTAAAGAAACTTTTTCCACTATAAAGAACCTTTTGTGGAATGGGAAGGTTCTATGGATGGTAAATGTCCTTCATGGAACCACTAATGCCAATAAATGTATTTTTAACACTGTAAGGTGTTGATTATTGCATGGTCAGTTTTCACAGTACCGTCGGACACACGCT